GTTAAAACTTTTGCTGCTCAGGGGTGTAAAAAAACACACCCCAAATGACTAAAAGTTTTAACGATGAAAAGCACTGGCTTGGCAGCGCTTCGTTGGTGGGATGAAGCTGCTGCCCCTCTTTGGAGGAGCTCTCTCCCAGCGAAAAAGAGCAGCCACACAGCGCACCTGACAATGGCACAGCTGCAGCGACACAGTGGACACACAGCCTAATACATCAAGCCTGGAGTTTGGAGAGGAGTTGAACTTTTTCATGCACACTGGGAAAAATCTGGTTCCTGGTAGAAGATGAGCTATCATGGGATATTACTGTGGTCCTCATAGCAAACTTCTGGAGCAGCCACTTGATTGGTGTGAGCTCAAACTCAACCTTATTCCATAAGTCTCTTCCTCCTCCTCATGATCAGAATCTTTGCATCATAGAATTGTGGGCTAAAAGCTCTAATAACATATTCACTCTTCATTGGTTTGCAAAACTCAGGTAGTTTTCAGAATTTTTCGGCTGCACACTGCATTCTTTTGCTTTCATGCATTCTCAGGGAGACTGTGATCCATAAATCGGATGTTAAAAGGAGCAGAGAAAGTCCATCCAACTTTTTCTTTGGACACCAAACCAATTATCTGCCTTTTTCTGTTGTTTGCTATTGTTTTAATGGGACTGTCACGTGAACTCTATATTAGAGCCCCATTTCCTTCAGGGTTTGTCAACAAAAGTAGTTAGACACTGATCCATTCTGTTCCATTATTTGCAGAGCCGCTACATGGAGCTCACTCCTTACTTTTTCTTCTGGGCACTGTTACCTAGCCTGGTGCTTCTCAATCAGTCGTCCTTCAAATTTCTGTAACTTGTACTCAACCTGCCTCTTCCCGAACTAGATGAAGAGCTTCCGTGCTGGGTGCCAGTGCACCCCTGCCATGCATCCATGTGGGGAAGGGAGTTATTATTTCCTGTGAAGCTTGGACTCCTTTAAAAATCAGTGTCATGTTGGCAAGAGTGGCATTTGGAGCCGCATAAGCTCTGTTCCAGGTTAGACCAACCACAGTAGTGGCAATGATCAGTTCAGCTGCAGTCCTAGCCCAGTACATGGATTGTTACCCACAAAGGCTGGGACCCATTAGACTAGTTTTTAATCCAGATTTGGCACATCTCTCCTGCTAAATTATTGAATGTTTAGACTGAGTTCCCATTTTACCCTCCCACTTGATTCAAGTCAGAGTTCCAAAATGTCTTCAAGCTTCAGGGCACTCTTGACGCTGTGTGCAAGAGACCATGTCTCCCCAGTGTAGATGTCCTTTTCTGAATGTGTTTCAATGAATTCTTCTTAATCCTAAGAAAATATGGTCAACCGTTCTTAAACCCATCTTAGCTGCTGCAGTCCAGTGTTTCAGCAGTAGTAACACAGTAGTAAGTCTGAAGCACTGCATCATACATAGCTGAGTTGCAAATGCTGTAATTGCCATTGAAAATGTTTTTTTAATATGCATGGTCTGCTGAGCCTTGTAATAAAAGTTGGGCTAACAAACCTAAGAGTAGGTTAATGGGAGTTGCCTGCCTCCTTTTCAGATCACATTGTGATTTGACACAGAACATTCCTGTCTGGGAATTCTGCCTGAGGAGAACGTGCTTGTTTTCCCCCACAAAAGGCAGGATTACAGTTATTTTAAAAAATTGACCGTTGGAGCTGTTTTTGCACTGTTTACTGGTATGGACTAAAACTAACTCAATTGCCTATAATAACTTCTCTTAATGAACACTGTGATTAAAAACTGAAAGGGTTCACAATAACGGTGCCTTCCAGTTTTAAGCCTTTTTGTCTATCTCTGTGGTATGGATTCATTCCAAATCGTTTCCCTGTGTTTATATATTTTTAAAAGGCTGAAATCCACAGATATTTTATTGGTAATTGTACTTCTTTCTAGTCTCTTGTTTATTGGAACTTTAAAGGTGTCAGTCTGGTACCTGTCTTACCTCAAGAATTTCAGGGTTGCACTCAAGGTCTCCACATGAGGAGTCCAGGCTCTGATCACTCACACATTGCCAAGAATTTGAAGATTTTTTTTTTTAAGTCTTCACAGAAGATGCAAGCAGTGTAGAAAATCAGCTTGCCATGTGCATATGTACAGAAATGTATAAAGATTCTCCAGGGGTTTATAGAGTGACCAAATATGGGGTATCAGTTTTTTTTTTTTTAAGTAGAAATGCAAGGACCTGATTCTGCATTTGACTCTACATGGTTGGACCCCTGCATGAAGCCTCACTGAAGTCAGTGGGATTCTGCCTGAGCACAGGCAGAGAGCCTCTGTGGAGTTGGTTGCAAGATCAGGCCCTAAACTCAGATTATACACACAACAATACAATTCCGTAAATGCCTTGAAAGCTCATTCCACACTAGATATTTTTAAATACTACGACTTAATAAGGGTGCTTTTCTGAGGTGACTTCTATTAAAAAAGAGTGTCTGAAAGATGAATAACTGATGGCTCAAGAACGACCCTTTTTTATTCCTATATTGAGGATATTTGCCTTTAAAATATTCTTGGTAATTCTTCATTGTATTATTTTTAACAGTAAGAACAGCACTTTTAACAGGTATCCTTTTTAGGGCTGTCAAGTGATTAAAAAAATTAATTGCATTTAATCGCACTGTTAAACAACAATAGTATACCATTTATTTTAAAAAATTTTGGTTGTTTACTACATTTTCAAATTTATTAATTTCAGTTACAACACAGAATACATTTATTTATTTATTACGAATATTTGCACTTGTAAAAAACAAATTATTTTTCAGTTCACTTCCTACAAGTACTGTAGTGCAATCTCTTAATTCTACATTTGTAAGTTCAACTTTCATAATAATGTAAAAAAAAAAACCTGCATTCAAAAATAAAACAATGTAAAACTTTAGAGCCTACAAGTCCACTCACTCCTACTTCTTGGTCAGCCAGTAACTCAGACAAACAAGGTTGGTTAAAATGTTTAGGAGATAATGCTGCGTGCTTATTGTTTACGTCGCCTGAAAGTGAGAACAGGTGTTTGCATGGCACTGTTGTAGCTGGCGTTGCAAGATATTTACGTGCCAGATGCGCTAAAGATTATATGTCCCTTCATGCTTCAACCACCATTCCAGAGGACATGCTTCCATGCTGATGATGGGATCTGCTCGATAACGATCCAAAGCAGTGCGGACTGATGCACGTTCATTTTCATCATCTGAGTCAGATGCCACCAGCAGAAGGTTGATTTTCTTTTTTGGTGATTTGGGTTCTGTAGTTTCCACATCAGAGTGGTGCTGTTTTAAGACTTCTAAAAGCATGCTCCACACCTCATCCCTCTCAGATTTTGGACAGCACTTCAGATTCTTAAACCTTGGGTCGAGTGCTGTAGCTAGAAATCTCACATTGGTACCTTCTTTGCGTTTTGTCAAATCTGCTGTGAAAGTGTTCTTAAAACGAACATGTGCTGGGTCATCACCCGAGACTGCTGTAACATGAAATATATGGCAGAATGTGGGTAAAACAGAGCAGGGGACATACAATTCTCCCCTCAAGAAGTTCAGTCACAAATTTAATTTTTTTAACAAGCATCATCAGCATGGAAGCATGTTCTCTGGAATGGTGGTCGAAGCATGAAGGGGCATACAAATGTTTAGCATATCCAGCAGGTAAATACCTTGCAATATTGGCTACAAAAGTGCCATGCGAACACCTGTTCTCACTTTCTGATGACATTGTAAATACGAAGCCGTCAATGTAAACAAACTTGTTTGTCTTAGCGATTGGCAGAATAAGAAGTAGGACTGAGTGGACTTGTAGGCTCTAAAGTTTTACACTGTTTTGTTTTTGAGTGCAGTTATGTAACCAAAAAAAAATCTGCATTTGTAAGTTACACTTTCACGATAAAGAGATTGCACTACAATACTTGTATGAGGTGAATTGAAAAATATTATTTCTTTTGTTTATAATTTTTACAGTGCATATATTTGTAATCAAAAATAATATAAAGTGAGCACTGTGCACTTTGTATTCTGTGTTGTAATTGAAATCAATATTGAAAATGTAGAAAAAATCCACAAATATTTAATAAACTTCAATTGGTATTCTATTGTTATAAGTGTGATTAATCGCGATTAATTTTTTTGAGTTAATCGCATGAGTTAACTGTGGTTAATTGACAGCCCTAATCCTTTTTGAAGGCCAATCAATCATGCATATAAACAGGACCCTATTTTGCCATAAAACAACTTGTGTGCTCTTCTGTTTTCTTCTTTCGCATGGCTTTCTGCTGTGTGTCTAGTAGGAAATATCAGACCAAATGTGTGGTGTGTTGTTTTAAGAGGGTTTTCGTGCAGATAATATATCTCTTGCTGTTGAGAAGAACTGCTATTAAGCATGTGGATACTTCCCAGATTTATTGCACAATATTTCCAAAGCACATGCTAGTATCTCAGTATTTGTTAAAAGCTTTAAAAAGTGTGTTTGCGTATTCACATCTGGTAGCTGAACACGACAGTGTTGTGAGGATTCCCCACATCCCTGTTGTGTTACGGAAATGTAAACACCATTCCTGTTGTACTCTTGATCTGTGATCATGTTTACCAGATTGAAATAAAGGCCCCACTCCCCAGAGTCAGTCCAATTCTGATTTCATCAAGTGATATCATTTGAGTGGGGTAAGGGCAAATGTGCGGTTTCCCTCTTCTCACCTGTCCCCGAAAACTGTCCTTATTTGTACATATATTTTTCATGAGTGCTGATGAATAAACTAACAAAATGATTGTCCAAGAGTTTGCTGGTTTGTTACCTTGTACTTTTGTTACATTTACAGCTGGCTTATCCATAGGTAAAGATTTACTTCCATAGATATTTTTGTTTAGGTGTCCATACCATTCCATATTTCAGTCTCTTTCCGCTTGTTTAATTTGCATTTTTTTTCTTTTCAGTTAAGTGGTTTTCATCCCTTTTCTTTGTTTTTGTCTTTTTGTTGTGTTTGTCCCATTTAGGAGCGATTATGTTTGCCTCTGCATATTTTAGAAGAGAAAGGTTTGACACAGGTAGCAGTGACAGTCCACGCACTTCTGGAGCTTGCACCCCCAAAGCAGCAGCATCACCACTTGTCTGCTGCGTAAAGATCTCCAGGACCTTTTGGTTTCCCTTGGCTAAGCAGAAGAACATGAAGACTTTACTGCTGGTGCAGTGTATCCAAACACACAGAGCTCTGCTCTAAGAAGGAAATTAGCTTCTGTGATTCCTGACAGGAATGTTTTGCTTCATTTCTCCACTTTTTTTGGAGATCACACCAGTTTCCATTTAATTTTTTACCAATATTTTTTCCCCTTTATAAAGTGAGGTTTTTTCTTGGGGGAAATTCCTTTCTCTGGTTGTTGAGAAGCATCTGTTAAAACTGACTATGTAGATTCAGGGGATTTATATATACAGTCTGAAAAGCTGTAAGATTCCTACTAGGATGTATTTCCAAAGGGGATGTATCCATTGCGACACAGTGATGGAGACTGCTTGTCCTCCCCATGAGTCCCAGAGAGAGTTTTCCCTGCTTCTAAGAAACGCCAGCTCTTTCCATTGCATATAAAGATCACAGGTTAAGACTGTGTTTTGAAGCTGATGATACTCAGTTTCTCAAAGCAAGACTGAAATGGATTTTTTACTCTGGGTTGGCATGTCCTCAATATTAAAATATAACTATATAGTGCTGTTGGTTTTTTCCCAGGGATACCCATACTGCTTGTTACCTCCCTAAGGAACAGACATGGCAGTGAGAGATACTAAGCCCTAACCCTGTTCAAATATTGTTATTAAATCAAAATATTTGCTGGCTTTAAGCTTCGGTTGGTTATAAATCTATCTTTGTATTGGAATCTTTCCCACTTCAGTGGAAAACATCTTACCACCCTTCATGCCCTCTCCTACCCATCATGGGGACTCGGTTACTAAACAGTAATGTTAAATTGGTCTATGGCTCGAATTGCTGCAAATAATGATTGAAGATTTTCCTATGAAGAATCATGTACCTATTTTCATTCCACTGCAAATAATCATGAGCTATGAAACCATCCATTAGAGATCTGTTATCCAATTCTGTTTTCAATTGAAAACAACACACAGCCACCCCCTTACACCAATGAAGACTCCAGTTATGTAGGAACAAATTATTGTAGGAAAGAATGAGATTATTGAATTCCCAGAGTGGTTCTGTGTGTTAGCTCTGCTTTCAAAGTGGCAGTCTTTTGCAAAAGGAAATTTCTGTGGGTGGGTTTGACAGAATGTGTTAATAAAGTATGTTTTCTTGTAGTTCATTCAGTGGTATAAACTGCCTTTTGTTCCTTCTGCCTACCTCCTTTTCCCCAAAAAGTGGACATTCAAAATATGTGAACAGGAAACTGAAAATAAGGTTTGCATGTTACTTTAAAGGTGACTGACAAAGTCCAGACTTCTGTGCTGCCTTGGCCCCCCTGATGAGGCTGGGTCACATTCAGCTCTGCAGTAACTTTTATATATAGTAATGTTTTAAAAATCCTTTTCTCCCACAGTGAAATCCTCTTGATATTTCCTGGGGTAATCCCAGAAGACACCTCTGCCATTATCATGGATTGCACAGGGTGTGAATGAGACTTCTGGTATTTGTGGTGTTCCATTCTGGGGTATTGTTAGTGAACCAGTAATACCAAGAGGTTTTCAGAAGGGATGAAGTGGGCAGAAGAAATGGAAAAAAGGTTAGTTAAAAGTTTTCTTTGCTGTAATAAGCCTGGTCATGGGAACACTTAAGCACAGAAGTCTGGGCTTAGCTGAATTTTCCCTTTGGATTTGTCATTCCATTCTCACTCTGATTTGTTTGCCTAATAATTATTTCATGGGTAGCTTGTGGTAACTGTTGTCCCAATGATTTCGCATAAGGACGTATTTTGTTTCATATTGGTGTTGACACCACTGATCACACCATAGGTCTAGAAAAACACATGAAGGATATTTAAAACTAGAGTCGTACGGTTGATAAGGGAAAATATTTTCATAATGTGTAAGTGGCTGTCTTGGTTTCTGGAAGATCTGAGTATGCCAGTAACGTGCATCATAAAAAGGAAGAGAGCAGCTCTCTACAGGTACACCTTCCCCCAGCAAACGGTGTAGACTGTGTTTCACAGTACCGTGTTCCAAGGGAAGGCTTGCAACGGACAGAACTGGTCCTTGAAGGATTATGTGGCAGTGAAAGGAGAATTTTTTTTACTGCAGTCTCTGCCATTTGTTGAATGGGGGATGTAGATTTCTGGCATCTCACCGCTGACATTATAGACTAGTGGTTCCCAAACTTTTTCCTGACCTCCCCCGCCCCCATCTCCTGAAGCAGTGGTGCCAGTTCAGATATTTCTTGGGAGGAGGGCACATTTTTTCAACCCTGGGTTGCCCCACAGCCAGCCCTACTCTCCCCCGCCGCCCACTCCCCAGGGTACCTGGGAGGGAGTTGTCATTGCAGTGTGGAGCAGGCAGAGCACACGGACTGGGCACCCTGCCCCATCACTGGTGGTAGCACAGACTCCCCGTCCCTCCTTGGTGCTGCAGCTCCCTGCCAGGCTGGGGGGCTCATTTCAGCACCACCACTCCTTGGATTCTTCTGCCAGCAGCAGAGACTAGCCTCTCTACAGCCAGCTCCATGCACCCCAGGATGGGACCATGAGCAGCTTCCCTGCCTCCCCTCCCTGCTGGCTCGAGGCTTCCAGCAATGCCAAGTGGAGATGCTATGGGTTCTTGCTGGAGGGCCCAGCAGGCAGAGCGGGACTGGATGCCACGCATGTCCCCTCCAGAGCCCCTGCCTCCCTCACGCTGCTCCTTACCCCTCTTCCCTGATGGCTCAAAATATTGCAACCCCCTGTGGGTTTTGACCCCCAGTTTGGGAAACTCTGATATAGACAATTCTGCCATAGACCATAAATGTTTCCTTATGGGTTGTCTACAAGTCATTGTTAAAGGGGAGTAACAAATTAATCTGACTTCTCAGTACTAGATACTTTTTATTCTCTGTACCTGGGTATTAGGTTTTGTTTAATAGATCGAAAGGAGGATGCAATATTTAGATTTATTCACTGTAAGAAATCTGTTAAACTTAATGTGGAATTGTGAGAATCTGTTATTTGCTCCAGCCCAGCTTCCCGGACTTACGGAAACTGACTGTAACAGCATTCATGTTGGTAGAAGTTGGACATTTCATAAATGTTAATTTTTGGAAAACTAACAATTTGGAGTTTGAGTCTGACTTTCAGTAAATGGCCACTTCTCAGTGTGTGTTGTAAAATCAGCCACTGTTGCACACACGTGTGTGTAGCCGAATTTTACATCAGCAACTATGCTTGTATGCCTGGTCAGGTGTATGCTCCTATTTCCTTTACAGTTCTAAACAAACATTTCACTCTAGCAAGTACACATTTGTGTGGTCATGTTAGTTTGACTCTTTAATTTTGTGTTTTCATGCTGGCAAACACTAAACGTTGACCAGACATTGAGGATGAAAATCCAAATCTGAAATTTCAAGATATGGTTTATTCTTGATGGATTATACCAAAAAACACTTCTGGTTTCTGTTGTAATGAAATGGGATGGGATTTTTTTGGTATATTTATGTGCACTTTTTGTTATAGCCAGTTAAAAAATATTTTAAAGAAAACACATTGGATTTCATTTGGTGTGCTAAAGCTAGTATCAATTGTAGTCTTTCCCTTTTGGGGCGTTGGTGGTGGGGAAAAATCCATTTCAGAGTTAAGCACTTGCTAGTATGTTTGTTCCTTACACAAGCCTTGTTAAGCACTGAAGAAAACTGAGGATCGATAATGTTACGAAATAGAAATTGAAATGGCTCTGGCACTTAATGGTCCTTGACGGTGTTGGAATGATCTGGTCAGGAAATAGGGGATTTTGATTTCTCCTTCTTGGGAGCTAGTGACAGGGGAAACTGGTTAGGAAAGCCCCTTCCTTGCTGGGTTATTAATTTCTAGACAACATTTTACAGCACTGAGAACTATTCTGTTGCTCTTAGCAGTAACGTGGTAACTGGTGATTTTTTTACCCTTTTATGACTTTAAATGGTTCTTTGACATTTTTGTTTTAGAAGCAGAGGAATTCTAAGGTGGATTTAAACATTTAAAAAAATCTTTGTATAGATATTCTGTTTTACAATCTAATTTTGTTTCTGAAAACCTTGTAAACGTGTAATTAATAGAGTAAAGGATTTTTAAAGCTCCCACCTATACTTGTATGTCTGTAAATACATTCCATAATTTCTAAGACTGTTAAGTATAAATATGCCAGAATATTGTGTACTTTATTTTAAATTGCCTGTATGCTGTTAGTTGTGTGAACTTCTAACACACTGATAATATAAAACCAAATACTTGGGTAATTTGAAATAAAGTTTTAAAACCTACATGAACTGAAATATTTCTTCCTCCTTATATTTTTATATTTGAATCAGTGATTGTCAATTCCTGTGTATCAAGTGTGGATTTACTTTCTGAATTGTCATATTTATTAAGAGGACGGAATTTTTTTCTGGTCATCTTAGGAGCCTGGTATAGGAAAAATTGTTCTTTCAGCATAACGAACAACCTCCGGGCCAGAGTAGGAGACTGCGTATGTTTGCACTCAGTACGTTTCTTTCAGCAGATGTAATCAGAACCTGTTTCTCTGCAGCTTTTCTAGCCCCTCCCCCTGAGGGTAACTAGTGTTCCTCAGAATCAGCTGCCCTATTCATTCTTAGAGGTTAGTGGTGGAAAAAGAAAAGGAGTACTTGTGGCACCTTAGAGACTAACCAATTTATTTGAGCATAAGCTTTCGTGAGCTACAGCTCACTTCATCAGATGCATACTGTGGAAACTGCAGAAGACTTTTAGGTCACGTGGGCTGTGAGCCACAGCCAGTGCACAGTTGCTCTCTGTATTACGTTCTCGTGTTATTTATCCTGTCTAGTTTTAAATTCTGTGAAGTTTGCACCAGTATTCCCCTCAATAATAGGAAAGTTTTTCTGATGGCACAAAATGTTTGTTCCTCCTTTCCTCCCTCATAACTAGAGTTTACAGCAAACAAGCGAGAGGCCTAAAAGTTGCTAGCAGCCACAGAACTTCCTGCCTTGCTTCATACATGCTGCTCTCCCTCCCACTCCATCTCCAGTTGGTCCACAATGCTACCACATCAGCTGTGTCCCCCACTCCAGGTCCATTCTTTTGATCCCTTGACCAACTCCCTCTTGACTTTTGCATCGGTTTTCAGGCTCCGTGTTTTCACCTTCAAGACCCTGTACTGCTTAGGTCCGACCTCCGTCTGCTCTGCCCCATCCTCATGACTTAATCACCCCTTGTGTGATCTTCTCTGTCAGTCAGTCATAGAGCTTAAGGCCAGAAGGGACTACCCACCAGATCATCTAATTTGACCTCCTATACCACAGTCCATTCTCCATGCTGTCTCTGGCCCTCTATCCCTGGCATCTCTTCTTGACTGCCCTATGAGGCCTGCACCTGTTGCTCTGTGTGCCTCCTTAAAACATACTTCCTCCAGAAGGTCTATTCCCCCTAGTCTTCCACAAGGAGAAGTTTTAGGTTTGGATGCCTGATCTTCCCCTGCTAAATCCAAACAAAAATGGTGACTCTACTAAGAACCATGCTGGACTCCATCTTTCACTCTTGCAGCTCTTTGTTGCACTGTATTTCCTTCCATTTTTACATGTAAGATTGTAAGACTTTCAAGGCAGGTGCTTTATCTTCTGTCCATCTAGCATCCATCTTATTGTTGGGGATGTAGACAAGTGGTGGAGAAGCGGTCCCTTAGAGTTCACAGGCAGAGTTGGCTATAAATTAAAGACACAGGGATGCACCAGTTCTAGATTGTTCTAGGTGAAGCGTTGATAACCTTTTCCCAGCAATAGGAAGTCTTCCTTTCCTTGCACCAAGAACTTCTCGGCTTCATTTCTTTTAAAACCTTTTAATTTTTTGATGAACTTTAATGCTGAGTAAAGCAACAGAATTGGCAGCCCTGAAGAGTGAAGTTCTCCATTTTTATCTACAGATGAGTATTGCAGGTAAGCAGTTGTGTAATCTTCCTCTCCGTGTCCTGTTCTTCACTTGAACCTGGGGAGCCATTGCTGGGCTGAGAGAATACAGTAGTGGACCCTCCGTTTAGTCCTTGAGGTCTCTGCTGAGTTGTAACAGTCTGGATGGCTGCCGTGTGGTGGTGGTTTTGTGCCGTAGATACCTGTCTGCTGAAAACTACATGGAGACCTTCCATGTCATTTTATATAGGTCGCCTAAAAGTCATTGTATGGTAACTTGCAGCTACTTACTAAAGTAGGCTGAATTTGATCAAGAAGCCTAAAAATGACACTGCGTGTTGTCCCATGATTAATACCATCCTGAGCCATTCAGCCACTACTTTGCTGTATGACGTTGGTTAAGCCGCTTCACTGGGCTTCAGGTTTCACGTCTGAAAAAAGTGGGTAATACCCATCTCAGTAAAGAACTTAGAAATTAAGGGATTTCCTGACCTCAGTCGTCTGCCCCAGTCACCGATTCTGATGTGGATTCTGTTTCCAGAATCCACCTGTGTAATAATAATTTAATAGCAACAAAATTACTGGCTGCTTTCTGAGATACATGCAGCCTTATCCGTTCATTTCCCGGGTTTCTAACCGTTGTTGTATTTTTAAACTCTGTTTTATTTTTACAGTGCAAATCTAATAAATATAAAGTGAGCACTGTACACTTTATATTCTGTGTTGTAACTGAAATCAATATATTTGAAAATGTGGAAAACATCCAAAAATATTTATATAAATGGTATTATATTATTATTTAACAGTGCGATTCATCACAATTAATTTTTTTTAGTCGCTTGACAGCCCTAATTCAAATCACTAATATGTGCCTGCAATCTTAATTCCTGCCTTTTAGTTTGTGTGGGAATTGGGTGTTAAGCTTATTAACATCTTTGTCAATGGAAGACAGTCACCAGAGAAAGCAGCATGTTCTGTGCACAGCAGATAGGTACATGAGAGTGCAGAGGCCAACAATTGTTAAATAGCTATGGTATGGACTCAAACAGCTTGACTCTGCAGCTGTTTCGTGGCACAAGGCACCTAATGGCTGTAAAGCATATGGGTTTGTTTACGGATCATGGAGAAGCTCGTTATATCTTCCAAGCTCCCCTGACTACAGTATTTAATTAAGCACCTTTAGTCGCTATCGATGCTTAGAGGCGAAACAGTCTTTTAGCCGAGTCAGCATATCCTTTCTGCTCTGATGCAGTATATACTTCCCCCCAGTTCAAAGAGCTACACTGCTTCATTTGCTCTCCATTGGTGATACTTGGGCTCGCTGGTCCGTTGAGCCATAAAGCAGCAGCATTCCTTTCATCTCTCCAATTAAAATTACAGGGTTGGAATTTTTTCCAGCAGAAATTGGAGGGGTCGTTTTGGTTTTGAACCTTCTTTGCTGGAGTTATAACCTAGCAACATTTGGCTTTGACGCTTGAGGGAAACCTTAGCTTCCCCTAAGGAGATTCACTCTGACATATCAGACAGTCACCGTGAGGGAACTGACGCTGTTAAGTCCCCACAAATCTACCTTGAGGCAAATCTTCCAAATATGGAGCTTCGTTGGAATCATTCCACAAACCCGCCTCACTAATATTAACCCTCAGACCCAGAACTTCCTCCCCTCCAAATGACTGGGAAGTTTCCAAAGTCCAGGCCTGTGTGTAACGCAAGTGTGCAGCCACCAGAACATCCACTCGTATTCGTGGCACCTGGCGGCCCTCGGGTGCTTCGAGCTTGCTTTTTGCCAAGCTGCGCGCACCTCCAGGTTCCGATGCTACATGGCTACATTTCTGGGCACCTCAACTCGTCCACTTGCCCATTTGACTTTCCTCTGGGTCTGTTTCCCAGCAGGATATCATCTCTGAAGCTGGGAAGGCAGCTGCTTTGAGGGAATTTGTAAGAAGCCCTGTCGGAGCTTGAGCTCTGTTCCTCTCCTGTGAGACCTGGATGACAGTCACCTCCCCCTACAGCCCTATGACAGTGTTTCAGCCCTCTCTGCCACAGCCTGTCCCAGTTCTACCTTCCAAACAGTGGAGAATGGGTAGGCAGCCGCCCTGGGGGGCTGCTAAGCATTTGGCTAACTGGAAGAGATGCTTGATCAGATTTATGTCCTTTAAATGTACAGAGGAGGTCTGAACTTTCTCAAAATTTTCCATTTTTACATTAGAAACATTAGAAAAATATGAATGTAAAGGCTGATCTCCCCTGCTTTTGGTGGACCTCTTGCAGCTCCTTGTGTATTGTGAGCTCTTACGCTCAGCTGAGAGGCAGGAGTGTTGTTAACAAAATCAAGTGTGTTTGATTTATAAATGCTAACAAGGGTAAAACTCCAACTTCTAAGCAGTCTGACTGAAGACCCTTTCTCCTCTCATTTGCTTAATTTTCACTCTTCAATTGTATTAGTTTTCCAGTTACCGTGGAGTCTCCTAGGGTATGTTTGATAAGAAACAGCAAAGTGTGGGGAGAGGATGGATGCTTTTTTGATGAAAACCATTCAGGGTCCATTTACCCGCCATAAATGAACATGAACCCAATGTTGTTGTTCCTTTAACTGATGTAAAATTTCCTCCTAATTTCAGAAACAAACTGTTATAATTTGAGTGGATTCTGGTATTTATGCATGTTTTCCCTTTTGAGAGATAGTCAGAACCATTTCACTAAAAGTGATAACTGGATAATTTCATAACCATCATTACTGCTCATTTCCAGTTTGCATCATAATTCACTGCAGCTGGGTCACACAAATGGCGTCTTTGGATGTAATTTACATCTAGCACCTGGCATGTGATATCACTGGCTTGCAGTATACCCCACTACAGTAATCCTCAAGGATCAAAAACCTTGCAAGAGCCAGGGCAGTTCCACTGGATTCATGCTAAGGAACCGGAACCCAGAAGTGAAGCTTCGGAACAGACAATGTCCTTAGAATGAGAAGTGATTTTTCACTCAACGTTATTTTCATGTGCTGTTGCCCCAAAGCAAGCGAAGGCGCTGATCCTGACTCAACATTCTGCCCATGCTGTGTTTCAAACGTCAGCTGTTTGTGCTGTAGCTGTGTCTAAACGTGTGGCTAGGATTTTTTTTACAACAGGAAAAGTGCATTTCCCCTCCTTTTCTAGAACTCAAATGTCTGAAGGGATTTTGCTCAAACTTCACAAAAAAAATCACCTGTCAGCACATACCAAGCCTGGAAAATTTTAGCCTCAAAATGAAATGTTTCAAAATGTTCTCAGCGCGTGGAAAGGGGGAGATAAAATTAAACTTAACTGCAGTGGTTGCTATGAGGCGCCTGCTGCAGACGTGTGACGTAAACATCATACAAGAGTGGTGCCCATTCCTACCCCAGTGTGGAGTAAGGAAGACTCATTTGGGATCAGTGACTGAAAAGGGAGTTCTTCCTGATAAACTGAAAGAGTAATGATGCCAATGATTGTAACTCCAGCTTGCCTGGAGTGTGTGAATTTTTGGAAAGCTACGGACAGTCACTTCCATGATCTATTAAGGCAGAATAAACTACAGGCTCCAGCCACCACTGAGCTCTCAGAATTCAAAGCCAAACAGCTTTGCCACTTGCAGTTGAAGTAATTTTGCTTGATCTTAAGAGAACTTTTGGCACAGCTTGACTCTTCGATATGAATGAATTTGGACAGCTACACACGCTCCTGATACAGCTCTTAAATGGTCTCAGAGTGAAAACAGCCTCATTCCGATTCTGTATGCTCTGATCCGTGTCTTTCAAAGTGTGGGAGTATTCAAAAATCCCGACCCCCCTCAGCGGTTTTACACTGTGTAGATAGCGCTCATGGCTGTTTCCACTGTGTACACTGATTGCAGTACAATCTCATTTAAAAGGACTCGACCCACAGCGGGGAGAGGACTCTCGGATAACAGAGCAGAACTCCACCTTCCCCCGACCCCCAGTTCTTTCAAGGTAACAGCCAGGCTGTCATCACTTCACTGCACTCTGGGGTTTGAGAGCAGCAGCTCTTGGGCACCAGATGCCAAAGGATGTCTTGCTCTGTACCAAGGACATTCCATTACCACCCTCACTAGGGCATGATTCTTTCCTTACCTCCTGCAGGGCTATAGTGACTTCTGGCAGGAGGACTGTGAGAATGGAAACACAAACACTCCGTGAACAAGGCTCCCTCTACACTGAGACTCTTCAGCAGTTCTGCCACCATTGCTCTAGCACTGGCATTAAGAATGGAAGCGCCACCCAAGACCAGATGTGAGTGACTGCCCCCAAGCTGTCTAGACCTGCTCTGAGCCGCATTAGCCAAAACGGTGGTGAAGGACGCGTGCCCCCAGATGATGCTAGCACTTGGACGGCTGCCAGCGCAGTGACGGGGAGAAGTGGTGAATGTTCTGAGTGCAGAGTGCCTCTAAAACAGCTGCATTTTCAAGCCTGTGAACAGTGTGAATTATACCCAGATGACTAATTAGTTTAAGGCTGCAAAAAATCTTGAGGGCCATATTGTTCCAGCTTCCTGTGCTCTCAGGGGAATAACGTGTGTGCATAGCACAGTGCAGGTTAAAAATCTTAGTAGCTGGTTGCTAAGCTCTAGAGTTACCTTGAGCTGGAGAGGTCAGACCTTTGTGCAAGAAACTTCATCTTAAACTCCTTCCTGTCAAGAAAACAAACTCGAGCCTGGCCCAGAGCCCTGGCCCTGAACTCTGCTGAATGCTTTATTTCTTACTCTGTGTACACAAGCCAGTGCTCCTCCCTGATGAGAGTCCAAAGCTTCCAGGGCCCTGTGAGTCTAACGAGAGCAGGATTCTATGGCCATCACTTTTTCTTAGCTCCAGCTTTTCCCTTTTTCCCTTTGTCTTTGCCATTTGTCTCGTCCTCTTTAGGCTTCTTGATGGCCTTATAGGGGCCGATGTTGTGGCGAACCATTGTGCCTCTCCACCAGGCCTGTAGCTGGAAGCAGGAAAGAGGGAGAGTTAGTTTTCCAAAGCAAGTCAGACACTTCCCTGTTCAGAGCAGCTGGTCTTGGGGAAGTCAGCTGCCATCGCAACATGCCGCCCCATCGGCTCAGTGCTGTGGGAAAAGGGACGGGCTTTCTGATATGTTTATGTAAGAAAATTACAAGAAAATCCAAATTGTGAACTTGAGAGTGCCAGGGAATACTGCTCTGCGACACGTTCTGATCTCCAGCCTACTCCAGAGGCACCCACTGGGAGTGTCTGAACCTGGATCCCACCCTAAGTCTGCTGTCTGCCAGCTTCTCCTAGGCCAGCAGCCCGGTGTCAGCTGCCAGCGTTATCCTCAGCATAGAGCTATTGGAGCGGGCTCCATGTGCACCAACCCTTTGCCCTGGAAACATTCCAACTGTAAGTGCTTAGCTACTAAGGTGATGGGCGCTACAGAAAACCCCTCGATAGACTTCCACGCAGTCTAGACTATAGACTAGCTGCTTCGTACGCTAGCTTACGGGCTGCACCCGGTTCAGCTGCTAGCTCAGTGTGTTATTCAAGTAAAAGGCTAGAGCAGAGGAGACCCCAGTGAGTCCTTCCAGCAAAAGCAGAAAAGGCCAGACTCAGTGTTCCGGATTTTGTCTGCCTTATATTAGAAATGCTTAAAACCCAACCTGTCCTAAAGAAGCTAACAATGGGTCCAACTCCACCTGCCTTCCTTTTGCAGGTCATGGTTAAATATTCGTCTCTCATTAGCTCTTGGGGCCGCATTTTCAAAAAGTCCCATGTGCACACGCAGTTGCCCACCTAGGCTGGGACTGCATGTGTAATTGGTACTCCCAGCCCCCACTGTGTCCGACATGCCCGTACTTGTTCTCAGCAAGTACTTCAATGCTACTTTCCTTAGCCACATTAAAAAAACCCAGCACCAGTGACCCTGCAACAAACCCCGTGAAAGGCCAGTGTGAGGCAGCTTGAAAGCAAGAAGGTTGCCAGGTACGCTGTAGACTGTGGCACCTGCTGTAAAGGGACCAATGTCCTAAGCTGTAGCAGGCTGGGCTCCTCCCTTGCACTTCCTGGCCTGCGTAGTCACTAGGTTATGGGATAGTCTGTGTGCTGAGCACGCACAGAGCATTTGTGGGGTGAGGTTCTTGCACTGAGGGCAGGGATTACATTGCAGCCCTCCCTCTGTGGCATCATCCTTGCTGCACACATGGTGTGATGGACAAAAGGCCCCCGAATCTTCACGCTGGGAGCCAAGACTTTTCCCCTTTATTTCCTTCCTGATTCGGTCGGTGGCTATTAACTGTGTGGCTGTTCTACCCAGGGAGGGACTGGAAGGGTGGGGAGAACAAACAGCAGCTTGGACATGCAGCAGACACCTTGCAGCAGACACCTCTCTTCTCCTCACGCAACGGAAGCACTTGCTAATCCCAGGCCACGCTGGCCAAACCCTTTATTACGTGTTGCTGACTGAAAGGAGCCACTTCGCATACAGATCATTAATGAGCCATGTCACTGGTAGCACTTTCCCTTTTACCTTCTTGACGCTCTTTAATTCCAACGCATCCTGTTCTACCTTTCTTCTTGCTGCCTCCTTTTCCACCCGATCCTCAATCATGACTTGTTCGAATAACCGGCACTGCAGAAATGCACAGAGACGCTCTAGAACATGCTTCGCTTAGAAATGGACTGAGGGCATCATGATGACTTTGAATTCTGGAGCTCCCTGTACAAGGCTTGTCCCTCATAGCTACTCCATGGGGGCTGATGTGCAAACCACGGGCCTTTCTCCCTCGGTTCCTTTCCCCCTCGGTTCCTTTCCCTGTGAGCTGTCCCAGCTCTGCAGTGCAAATGCTGCGTATAACTGTGTTCCCCATCGTAAAGCAGTAAGTTGCCCCATTAACTGAAACCTTTCATTGCCTGAACTTATCGAACCCCCTGATGTTATGCTGCAGAAAGTGTGTCTTGTGCGGCTTCTCGTGGAACAGGTGTTGGTAGGAAGTCACCCCAAGCACATGGGGATGTGGTAAAATGATTGGGACATAGGGATGACAACTGACCTAAGTTTTACATGCAGAATGGAAGAGGAGTTGCTCGATGGGGCAAGGAGTTGAGTGTCCTCTAACTCCACAAGCAGGCGCTTAGAACTCAGTAAACTTAAGCTATGTGCACGCTGCCCCGCAGTTCTGACTACCGGGGTGGGGACAAATAGTGTGCACTAGTGTAACCCTCTTCAACAGGACTATGTTAATGTGAACTAGGAACCTTTTTTTAACTACTTATTTAGGAAGTTTTTACATGTTTACAAATCCTTGCCATGTAAATATTGGAAACAGAACAATCATTTCCACAGTGAGCTTTTGTTGAGAGAGATTCTGCAGGAATATTGTCATCAGCGCTTTCTGTTTAACAGGGTGTTACCATGGTTCAGAGTGAGCATCATTACAACACCGACAATATGTCCTTTCTAGTGATTTGATTAGAACTAGGAACCTTTTAGTTAACGCCCACAGGAGGAAATTACGCGAGCGCTTCGGTGCCTCTGCTTTTCCTGCCCCCATAGTCCGAACTGTAGGACAGCCAACAAGCTCTCAGAGAGAGCCCTTAGTCTGCAGCAGCCAGCGGTCGCCGGCAATGAAAGCAAGCGTGTTAAAATTCCACGAAGCCCCTCTCCCCTGGCCTAGCAATGGCTTGTGTGACCCAAGATGAGGCACACATTGGGAAGGGAGTTTGTCCTCCCTTGCCCCTCACAATAGCCATTCAATTACTTGCCACTCTCTTACATCCAAAACGGCCATAGGAAAAACAACAAACAATGGCATTTCTTGACCAAAGTCACCTGTAGAGAACAGAGGATTTATGCCCCCTGTGGCTCCCTCCGGACACCACTTGCTGGGTTGTTCCTGCCCGTTCAATTGAACAGTTCCATGGTTACTCAATCTTTTCTTCCCCATAGTTCTCTTCCCTTGTTCTGGGTGAATGAAAAGAGTGAGGGTGGGGAAGTGCCCAGGGCCCAGCTTTTGGGATGCTGCCTGGGCAGTGACATGCTGGTTCACTGAATCCTTTAGTCCACTGCTGATCTCATACCTGCTTGGCAAGTTCCTGCAGTGCTGCTAAATCATTTGCCTTGGATGCTTTTAGAGTGTTCAGTTCTTGTTGTTTAGATTCCGTGTCCTTTTCATACTTCTCCATCCAGTATTCTAGCTTCTCTTCCAACTTCTGTTTGGGAGACAGACTGACATTTAGCACAGCGGACAGAATGCACCAGGAAGGATTAGTAATGCTACTGAAAACTTTCTATCGTCTGCTCAGTCTGCCGTCTTTCTGTAAGAGTAACATTGACGTTACACAGCACAGCAATTCCTCAGCATACCCCAACCCTTCAAAGAGCCAAAATCCTGGAGCTAGTGTTGAGCCACTCGTGGTCTGCAGCATAGGCGCCAACTTCTCCCAGCACCGGTGGGTGCTCAACCCACCCTCCACCCTGCCCCGACTCCACCCCTGCCCGCCCACATTCCAACCCCTTCCCCAAAGTCCCTCCCCCTATTAGACTCCTTCCCCAAATCCCCACCCCGGCCCCGCCTCTTCCCTGAGCGCGTTCCCCCTCTTACCCCTTCCCAGCACTTGCCACCGCAAAACAGCTGTTTCACAGCGGCAAGCACTGGGAGCTAGGGGGAGAAGCGGGGACACTGCGTGCTTGGGGAAGAGGCGGGGCAGAAGTGAGCTGGGGTGAGGGGGCCGGATGGGGAGCTGCTGGTGGCTGCAGAGCATCCACCAATTTTTCCCCATGAGTGCTCCAGCCCCGGGGGATATTTTGGGGGAAAGACGTTTCCAAGTGGTCTCTTTCCCTGTTCTTTGTTTAAAACACTTGGTGGTGGCAGCATACTGTTCAAGGACAAGGCAAAGTTTGTACCTTGGGGAAGTTTTTAACCTAAGCTGGTAAGAATAAGCTTAGGGGATCTTTCATGCGAGTCCCCATATCTGTACCCCAGAGTTCAGAGTGGGGAAGGAACCCTGACATGGTGGTAGTGGTGGGATCATTTTGAACGAGAGATGGTGATCAGCTAAACCCTGAGCATGTGGGCAAGACTCACCAGCCAGACACCCAGGAAAGAATTCCTTGTAGTAACTCAGATCCCACCCTATCTAGTATCCCATCACAGGCCCCTGGGCATATTTACTGCTAATAGTCAAAGATCAATTAATTGCCAAAATTAGGCTATTCCATCATACCATCCCCTCCATAAACATATCAAGCTTACTCTTGAAGCCTTTTGCGTTCACTGCTCCCCTTGGAATGCTATTCCAGAACTTCACTCCTCTGATGGTTAGAAACCTTCGTCTAATTTCAAGTCTAAACTTCCTGATGGCCAGTTTATATCCATTTGTTCTTGTGTCCACATTGGTACTGATCTTAAATAATTCCTCTCCCTGCCTGGTATTTATCTCTGATATATTTATAGAGAGCAATCATATCTCAGCCTTCTTTTGGTTAGGATAAACAAGCCAAGCTCTTTGAGTCTCCTTTCATAAGACAAGTTTTCCATTCCTTGGATCATTCTAATAACCCTTCTCTGTATCTGTTCCAGTTTGAATTCATCCTTCTTAAACATGGGAGACCAGAACTACACGCAATATTCCAGATGAGCTCTCACCAGATCCTTGTATAACGGTACTAACACCTCCTTATCTCTATTGGAAACAAATCTTCTAAAATGACAGGTTTCAGAGTAACAGCCGTGTTAGTCTGTATTCGCAAAAAGAAAAGGAGTACTTGTGGCACCTTAGAGACTAACCAATTTATTTGAGCATGAGCTTTCGTGAGCTACAGCTCACTTCATCGGATGCATACTGTGGAAACTGCAGAAGACATTATATACACAGAGACCATGAAACAATACCTCCTCCCACCCCACTCTCCTGCTGGTAATAGCCCATCCAAAGTGACCACTCTCTTTACAATGTGTATGATAATCAAGGTGGGCCATTTCTAGCACAAATCCAAGTGAGAAAACCTGGATTTGTGCTGGAAATGGCCTACCTTGATTACCATACACATTATAAAGAGAGTGGTCGGTCACTTTGGATGGGCTATTACCAGCAGGAGAGTGAGTTTTGGGGGGGGGGGGGGCGGAGGGTGAGAAAACCTGGATCTGTGCTGGAAATTGCCCAACTTGATTATCATACACATTGTAAGGAGAGTGGTCACTTTAGATAAGCTATTACCAGCAGGAGAGTGGGGTGGGAGGAGGTATTGTTTCATGGTCTCTGTGTATATAATGTCTTCTGCAGTTTCCACAGTATGCATCCGATGAAGTGAGCTGTAGCTCACGAAAGCTTATGCTCAAATAAATTGGTTAGTCTCTAAGGTGCTACAAGTACTCCTTTTCTTTTTGCAAATCTTCTAAAGACTCTCTACAGCTTAAAGGAAGGGAACAAGGGATGCTAAAATTAAAACCTTACTTAATACCTTACATTTCAAATGCTTTAACTGCTTTTCCTCCTTTTTCTGTATCTTTAATAAAAGGTTATAAAGGATTTTAATGGCATGTTTGCCATGGTACTAAGCAGGCTGAAGTCTCTATAGAGCAAACCCTGAACCTTGTCCAATGCTGTTTAATGTTAAACAGTTTCAGGGTCGTGTTAACACCTTTGACTCTTTGGGTCCTTTCTTCTGTATAAAGTAATACAACAGACATTATGGATCGTGGGCAACCTGAATTAATATAATAGACATTATGGATTGTGTGCTACCTGAGTCTATCAAAAGAGTTGTGAATTGACATTTATCCTACCTAGGCTAGGATAAAGCAAAAACAGATTGATGATTTCTATAATGTCTTTCCTTGTCCCCTGTGTCCTACTTTACACGTGCAATACCTGGGCCTGTGAAGCTGTAGTTATACTGCATGTATTAACGCCAGCTCATGATGCTGCTGGACGTCTGACCTGTTTGCAATGAATGTACTTCAACTTAAAGCCCAATCACCTGAACATCTTGTGGTGCGGGGAGAAACAAAAATTATTTGTTTGGATGAACAAATCTGTCCTATCTCAGTTTTGATTTAAAATAATCCAAAATTCAGGTAACCAGTGTTATGTTTTTAGGGCAAATGGTAATTCCAATAACAGTCTTGAAGCTGGTTGAGGAGTAGATGGACATTAGCTGTTTTCCTTAAGACACTAATTGCTACCATAGGAATAAGCTCATGTGATGTTTTGTAAGTTGCTGCCTTAAGTGCTAATTGAAAACATTTGAGTCACCCACCATCTGTTGCTGCCTGAGGAAATTTTCTATCTCCATGTGGACTCTAATCTCCTCATCAGTTTTGATCCTCAGCATCTGTGATCAATAAAGACAGAACGGGTCAGAGGCTATCTTGGCAGGCATGTACGCATACCTTGCGAGGAGGTGCGCCGGTGAGCGACTGCTTGTAGTGGTGAATGGACAGCACTTCTGAAAGTGACAGGCCCTTGCGCTGCAGTGTCAGTAAAAAGCCAGTTCTATGTAAGAGAGTGAACTCCAGGAACGAACGGGTCGGGGAGCTGATTAGCAGCATCAAAATGGTGATGTGGTATTGGCTGTTGAGGGAAGTGACATGGCATGGAGATGGGAGCATTGGCCCAGAGCTTCCCCAGCCCTAGAAGTGCACAGATACCTGCACTAAGGCATGTCCAGCATCATGGAAGAGGGGCGCACCTGTACTGTGCATACATCACAATCAGCCCCCTCTCCTCGGAGCCAGCCCTGGGCTTGTATTGATGCCCTGGGAAAACACATTTACTAGCCTCCTACACCTGCGATCAGCAAGTCAAGTCCTTTTCCCATTCGCTGGTGCACCCCATCATATTCTCCCCTCACCCTCTGCCTTCCATACTGCTCTCCATCCTCCAGCACCTATCGCAGCATTGGTGCTGGGTTCACTCGCCTCTCCTTTTCCTAGGGCTATGGCCCTGGGGCGGAGTTCCAGAAAGCCGAATCACACCGGTGGCATGGGCGGAGCCCAGCACTGCAGAGCCCAGTAGCACAGCTCACAAGACTCAGCAGCGATAGTGCGGCCAGCTCTGAGAATCTAAGGCTATGTCTACACTACAGAGCTGACCGTGGCACAGCTATACCACTGCAGCCGTGACGCTGTAAGGTCTCCCGTGTAGCCGCTCTCTCCTGCCAGCATAATTAAACCACTCCTAACGAGCGGCAGTAGCTATGTTGGCAGGAGGGCATCTCCTGCTGACATAGCGCTGCCCACACCGGCACTTCTGTCAGTCAGGGGGGGTCTTTTTTCCCCCCAACACTGACCAAAAGGAAGTTTTACCAATAAAAGTGCTAGTGTAGACAAAACCTTAGCCGCTCTTCCACTTGCATCCCTTCATTAGCGACTATCACTGGGAGCCCAGAACTAAGGCTTTGTCTACACTAGCCCTTTCGTCAGTCAGCGGTGTGAAAAAAACACCCCCGGACTGACACAAGCCCCAGTGTGAACAGTGTTATGTCAGAGGGAGAGGCTCTCCTGCCGACATAGCTACTGCTGCTCGTTGGGGGTGGTTTAATTATGCCGGCGGGAGAGCTCTAGCCTACCGCCATAGAGACCTTCCAGCGGTACAGCTGTGCGGTCTGTAGTGTAGACATAGCCTGAGTCAGCCCTTCTCCCCATGCACTCTGCGCTGCTCTCTCCTTTGTACTCCGTTCTGGGTGCAGAAAACCAAAAGCTGAGGGGAGGGAGATGAGGCATCGAGGGGTAAAAATATATATGTATATCGCACTTGACTTGAAGATGCAGTATACTGTTAGCTCTCACACCTGAACTGAAGGGGCTGGCGTGCTGTCTCTTCAAGATTCATCCTTTCTCCTGAGTGTTCATTAGGCACTGAAGATAGACTGTTTTTTGTTAACATCTGTTTATCTAAAAACTCCTTCCCCTCTCAAATGCTCAACTTTCATGCTTGCTTCTTGTCGTGTCATCATTTCACTAGTTGTCCAGGCACCATAGAACCTTCCAGCCTAGACAGGACCTGAACATCTCATTTAAAAAAATGAATGGAAAAGAAATCCCTTTTATCTTTAAAAACCACCCAGACCTCTTATCCATCAGGAGGCAGACAAAGCCAGGAGGCCATTTTTTTCCAGTTGCAAGCCTCCTCTAATGGAGGAGTGTGTATGGGCATGCCACACACTGTGTATACATGTGCATAGAGACCCTGCCTGAGGACTCATCCAGAAATCATTAAATCCTTGCAGCAATTCTACTGCTGGGTGATCTCTGCAACCTGCACCCTTGGGATGGGTTCTTGGAATGGGGGATCCTTCCAACCAGACACTTCTTCCTGTGGTAGAGTTCTCCTGTCAGGGGGCACGCATAGCAGCCACCTACCAGTGCTAATGGTTACAGCCATCCCATCAGCCCCATTATTTGTTGTGAGCTTGGTAAAATAATGAGCAGCCTCTGGCCTGTCCCCTCCCTACACAGCTGACTAGAAGTGGCTGGTTGTTTGAGGTCATCAACAGTGGAAACCTGCAGCTGACCAGCTTTGTCCTTGTCCTGTAATTACAGAGAACACCACCACATGGTTTTAGAGAATAGGAGGAAAACATGACCTAACGATGAGGTAGTACAATCACGACATTGCCAGAGCCATGAGAGTGTGAGGCTGCACTCGGCAGCTCTGCGCTGCCCACCGAGTCCCAGTTCTGTCTTATTGTTAACTTCAGGAGTCAAGGTGGTGGGTGAGACGGAGACACTTGTGCCACCCGTATGTAAAACACAAACCTCTCTTTGCATGGTGAGTTACATGTTGGCTGTTTGGTGGCAATGCAATCTGCAGGCAGCCAGCTCTCGCCTTGCTAGCTGGAGATGCTTTACAAACAGGCCTAAAGACAGTGCTTACCTCAATTTCATTTAATAGGTCACTCTCTGCGTTGCTGCACTTTTTCTGGGTCTGGTAGATCTGGAGCTCTGTGTCTTTCTTCACATAGCGGCTCTCCATGTCTGTCTTGGCCTTCATCTCTTGAAGCTGATCTTTGAGGTATGCAATCATCTCATTCCGGTTCTGAGGAATAGGCGGGAGGGAGGGGCATATGGGGGGGGCACAAAAGCAAGCTTCAAAATGCAAGTCACCTCCCCATTTCTTGTGCCCACTACTCCAGGTAAACTCACCTGTGTCCCACCTCACATGTTTCAAAATCATAGGGCTGAAGGCTTCACTCTCCCCCAGAGCGATGTCCAAGTTCAACATGAGCTTCAAAGAGAAACCTAATTTTTAACCAACCGTATAGAAGGCAGCAAACAAAGAGGGAAGGGTGATTATCTATCTAGAGGTTGCAGTGACAGACAAGTCACCAGGACACCTGGCCTCTAGAGCCCTGATTCAGGAAGGTATTTAAGCACTTGCATAACTTTCAGTAGTTCCATTGATTTCAATGGCTTAACATGAGGCATACGCTTAAGTAGTTTCCTGAACTGGGGTCTATATCTGGCTCTGCCACAGACCCACTGTGTGAGCTTGGACAAGTCACAACCTCTGTACCTCGGTTTCCCATCTATAAAAAAAAAAAATGACATCTCGGTTGTGAGAGTGCTACGGTTTAATTCTTTAGTTGCACAGCATATTGGGCTCCTTGCATGGAAGTTTTCATGTAACCTGAAAAACTAAACAATTGCAAAGCAAATTTAAGAACAGGTGAAAATTGACTCTTGCTCTGTTCATATGGGCCACTACTTCTTTGAAAGCTGATCAGGACGCACAGTATAACTTTTGTTAAAAGGCACATGGTCGCTGGGTGAGTAAGGAGTGCTGAGGAAAAGTAGCAGGCTATGTGCTATCATCCCTTCCCTGCGCACTCTCACTACAATGGAGAGCTGAGATTTTCAGCTGCAAGTTGTGTCTGAGCGCGTCCCCTGGCAGAAGGGACTCCGGAGTTGAAAGGTACTGAGCTGACGTCTGTGGCTGAGTGTGTTTCAAGATGTTTGAACGCACTGGGGAATTGAAGAATGATTCAGTTTAGGATTGGGCTTTTTAGTTTTACTTGGTTTCTCGGAGTAACCCGTGAAGATTAGAAACGCAGGATCGTAACTAAAGGAGAATTCTCTTTAATATGAAAAGCACAAGACGTGCTAAGAATCAAAAGGTCATAACAGACTAGTTTGCAGTTACGTAAGACTGAGCTTAATGCATCTGGTTCTACTTCTTGTGCCACGTGCCTTTGATTACTCAACCAGATTCTTCCTGTTTGCTTGCTGTCATGTTACAGTGGATTCAACATTCATCAGGTGAAGCTGAAACACCGAAGTGCTGGTATTATTTAAGTGATTTGAAGGCTCCCATCTTGTCTCTCAAGCACCACCGCATTCCCTAACTGTGTAAACAGGGGAAGATCCCCCAGAAAACAGCTTGCTCCATAGCACTGTGTTTAAAGGCCAGTGCCGCATGAGTCATTTGAAGAGAGTCCCTTTTCAGAAGAGTTTGGAACACTCAAAGGGAAAGTGTGCACGCACACCCTCCCATCAGATATAGCGAGGGAAAGCAAACTGTGATATAAGGCTCAAGATAATTAGGGCCCTTGGCTGAGGTTTGTGTGTGTGTTAAAGTCATGCATCCATAATTGTTTAAGGTTTCTCAGGCCAAAGATCATTTTACAGCCCAAATGCTGTCATATGACTTGAGACAAATGACTTTATAACAAGCAGAGACAGGACCTATTTATGCTCCATAATATACCAAGGTTATCTGGTAATGGCTTGTATTTTCTTCCGTATGAAACAATGCAGCTGGTGGGGGCGTTGTTGTGCTTCCAGCAGACAGAAGAGGGAGCTTGTCACATAGCTGCATTATCAGTGGCTTTCAACCTTTTTTCCTTTTGCAGACCCCTAAAACATTTGGAATGGAAGTCCAGCTCGAACCCTTCCACTGATAGCAACTGCAGCAGGATCACACAGAGAGTTGGGTTCACTATGGTAAGCAGCCCTCAAACCATTTTAAGGCCTTATGGATTAAAACCGACACACTGAATTGAAACACATACTTGCCCCACTGTAATTATATACACATTCTAACTACTCTTCTATAGAACAGGACTATACCAAAAAGGATTGAAGTTTGAAACATGCCATGGATCAGGCTTTCCTTGAAGATTAGGGTCATTCTATGGTTTGAAAGAAACTTGTTTTGATTTACCAAAGAGACAGCCCTGCGAAAATGGCCAACACAGCCCAACAAAGTCAATAATAGCCTGTCCATTGACTTAAATGAGCTCTGGACTGGGCCCATGCTGAGCATGCATAGTAGGAAATTTCCTTAACTCTATACAGGTGTATACGTAGATAGAGGAATACTGTGCTTGTGTGTGCCATTATTTAAATGCATACTTGTTTTAAGGAAATTGCAAACTCCTAAAGCAAAGCCAGCAGAGCTTGTGAAGTCTGTAAGACACGTCAGTCTGGATCGTTTCTTTTCCTTTTTAAAAAGCATTAGGAAATTAAATCCAAGAAATGGTTAAGGTAACATTAAGGCTATAACCACAAGGAATGAGGAGTTGCAGAACAGGGGACAGAGCTTTCTCAGGGTCCAGACCAAGATTGTGGCGTGAACTCCCATAGGAACTAAGGACCATCACAAACCTCACCACCTTCCACTCCAAGTTCGAGGCAAGTTACCATGACCTGGCTGCTCTATGGTAAACACATGGGGGTGGGGGTTGTAAAAATTTCTGAAACAAACTACTACACTGCACACACTTCTCTTCCCTGCAAGAGGATGAGAGAACAAACGTGACAAATGTTGGTCATGCTACTTTGGGCACTTTCTAGTGCTGCATTAATATTAAGGTGCTGAGCATGGTATAAGAACCTATACAGAAAAGAATGAATAAAAGCTAAGTACCCAATCAAAATGTTAACCTACTCTCCTGCACACAAAACATTATATTATTGTTTTTCTGCTAAAGGTATGTAGTCTACTATATTACTGATTGCTGCAAAATGTATACCGTAAAATCTACAGGATGTGTAAATAGCGCTGCTGGAACTTAAAAGTTTTCATTGCCTGACTTTTGGATACTGACTGTGCAACCTTAAGGTTACATAAGCACAGTTTTTGGCATTCAATAATTAATCATCATAATCTGTATAGAATATCACCACTTCATCAATGAAAAATTAAAAAAAAAAAGCTACAAAATATAAGTGACCACTGCAGCAGCTACAGCTAAATGAATAAATCTTATTCCTAGAGCTGAACTAAAGTTATTAATGATGCCGGTGCACAAAGAAAAGGGAAAGAACAAAAAGAGCCTTGTTAATTTCAGCTCTATTAGAAATACAGGTGAATGAGGAATCAATGTTTGCCAAAAGGACAAAATCAGTGGGGAAGAATATTTGAGACTCATTACAGAGAATTAGGAGAGAAAAACAGCAAAATAGCCCTGTGAGTTATTAATTAGTGTCTTGTTAAGAGCTAACACAGCTCAAAAGAAGAACATACAAGGAACACACTCAGAACAATGAATTTTGTTTTCTAAATCCATGAGTGTACCTGCTTGCTTCTGTTTTCTCTTTCACACTCAGTCCAAAGACTGGAGACTGCCAGGGGGGGCTTTAGGCCCTACCTCCATCTATTGTCGCTGCTCAAAATGTTCCATAATCAATATGCTTTTTTTTTTTAATTAGTTGGCAATGTGCCAAATCATTAAAGTCTCAGTTAAAGCTGCCTGTCAGAAATTCATCAATGAAATGAATTGAAATCATTCTCCCAGGAGACCTAATCAGAGCAGGTCATTTTTTAGCAATGGGAGGAAAGCAGGATTTGAAAGTAGCTTCAGCTTGATTTGTTATCAAGGATCAAGCTATAAGGAAACCCAGTAAGAGGACTTTAAGCTGGAAATAAAATGACTGCAGGCCACACTTTGTGAGGCTGATCGCAAAGACGGAAGGGAGGTACTCAAAGATCAGAAGGTAAAGGCTGAAAAACAGAGGATCATCACCTACACCAAACGCAAAAAAGTTTAACAAAGCTGAGGCCAAAGAAAGCTCCAGCGGGTGATGCGCTTTTCCTAGCGCTGGAAAGAGCTGTGGAAACTACATTAAAACAGAACAGCATGCGTAAGTTGGGCTTCTAGAGCACTGACTTTGGCACCAGCTCTGCTCCTTATGTTGGTAGAGTGCATGGAGAGCATTACCCGATGGGGGTCCTGAATTGGAATGGGAGGAGACAACATGTGCTAAGAAATGGACAAAATATAATCTTCAGGTGACTGCCACACTGCCTGAGGCCAAATGAAACAACTAATTTATTTCTTTTAACTGCCAAACAGAGGTCAACATTTCTTTTAAGCTGTTCCGTTTTCCCCCTTAGGGCCTGGATATAGGCTTGAGTCCCAGTTTCAGCAACAGAAAAGAAATATCTATTCTATAAAAATTCTATATCTAGAAATATCTATCTTTTGCAGACTAGTCTCTGACCTCAGATTCCTTTAGACGTAGTGCCAAACTGAAGACACTGAAATCCTCTAGAAAAGTAATCCTCACTCTCCATTTCTCCTGGAAAACCTTTGACCTCCTGTGTCTGTCCTTCCTTGGTTCACTACCTACCTTGTAACCATTTGTTCCTTCAATATTGCCTTCAGTGGTTCCTCCTTTCTACAAGGTTCACCTGGGTTCTTTTTGTCGCCTCCTTTTCTTCCTCCTACACTTATTTATTTCATCTGCCCCCATTTGTCTCTTCTAGCACCTCTATGTTGATGACTCTCAAATCTACTTTTCACTTCAACATTTCTTCCTGTCTCATTGATATCACGTTTGAAGTTTCTGCTGTTTCCCCATACTGTACACAGTTATATCTGAGCTCCTCGTCTTTCCTCCCAAACCTTCTCTTCTCCTATACCAATACCATCCTTGTCAGACTTGCAACCATGGGGGCATTTTTCAGTGGCTCTTGCTCTTCCATGCGCATCTAGGCTCTCACCAAGTCCTGCTGCTTCTTCCTCTTCAACTTTTATAAAAAGAAGCCCTTCCTCAATGCGCCTTCAACTTCAAATGTTCTTCCACACCCAAGTAATCTCCTGGATCAACTACTGCTAAGTCCTCCCCTCTGGACTCCCTGTTTTCCATCTCGCTCACCTCTAGTCCATCAAGAATACTGTCGATAAAATGACCCTCATTTGCCACTCAACCAGATCACTCTTTTATACAGATTCTCTGCTACCTCCTCCTCACAGTGTCAGATTCTTGTCCTTGCCTTCAAGGCCCTGCATGGCTCTGCCTCTATCTCTGCTGGTTTCTTTTCGCACACCCCTCACTCCATCAGTGTGCAGCAGCATCACTCCCTTCATTTCCTTCTCACTCTCTCCTCTTCATGCTTTCTCCCTTATGCCTGGATCAACCCTTTATCACAGAATATTATGTCCCCACCATCTTCATTAACTCCTTCCTTAGAACCTACTTATTCTACTAGGCCTTCAAATACTAATCCCTGTGATTATTATGCCATCCCGATCCCAATTAACACCATCCTCTGGGTTTCCCACTGCATTCAGATCTGATCTGTGTCTCTCTTAGATTGTAAACTTCCTGAGGAAGAGACTATTATAGCTCTACAGCACTGATTGGTGCTTTAACAGTAATTAACGATCATTCAACACCCAGAACACTGGTGATGTAGCTATACTCGCTCTTGTTTTCTTTATATTTTTCCTGCCTGCCCCCAAATGAGAGAATGTTACATGTGTGCTCACACCCTTTCATCGGAGACTGTGAACCTCCTAGGAAGGAGAGGTCCCAGTCTGGGCATGCTCAGTAAAACATTTCCTCTTTAGCATGCTGCCCATCTCAAATATTCTTACCTGAAGTTCTAAATCCTTTTCTTTCTTGACATCTTGTAGCTGTTTCTGGAGGGACTTTATCTCCTTCCTTCCTTCCTCCTCCCTAGAGGAAAAAGCAAGAGGGAAAACCTACATTCCTTGAACACAGAATGAGAAAGTAGAGTTAGCTTTCCCCAGGAAGGGAACTTCCTCCCTTCTGATGCAGTGTTGCAGCTTACAAAACACAGCCCTGCTCCTCCTGCTTGCCCTGAGAGCTTGTAGGTTGGAAAGCTCCCCAGGACTTTGCAGTACCATAGGGTGAGCCATCTTTCCTTGGTTGGTGGGCAAATAGGCAATTTTCTGTCCATTTTAAGCTTCAGGGAGGCTATGTATCTGAAAGTCAAACTGGGATGTGATTGTAGAGCTGATGACATGGTAAATAAATCCACAGTGCAGTGATGTATGCATAGCTCACGTACCACTGCTGAGCCAGACAGGTGGGACTGATTGGGAGAATGAAGCAAGAAATGTAGAATTCTTCCAACAGAAGCCTGTACAGATTCCACAAAGACTTGATTTATTTGGTTGAGAGGATGGAAGAAAGAATCTTACTATTTGGGGACAGCTTTTATACTAAAATCCCACAAATTTCAATGTAGGGTCATGTCCCTAATCACTGCCCATTTCCAGATTACACGGGCTTCAGTTTTTCTATAAGACTATTTTTGTTAAGGGTGAACTGAAAAGTATATTTTAAAAAACAAACCTGTTCAAATTCTCAAATCAGTAAGGGGAGATGTATGGACACCAAAATTGACAAAGATGTTTACATTTTAAAACAAAATCACGGTCATCTTTGGTGCAGGCATACATTCTGTTATTGATGGGCAATTTGAATTTTTTTTTATTTGCACAAGCTTCCCACTTTCCCTTCACAAAAGAAGAAAAAAACAGAATCTGTGCCTTAACATGTATAGCCGGTAGCTTTCCAGCTTGTGTTACCGTGGCTCTTGTCACTCCGATTTTTTCCTAAGGTTTTATGCTTATAATCTAATATCCATACAGGGCCATGGGTGCATATGGCACTTTATTCATTAAGCAATTTGGCAAGTCCCTGCCCTGAAGAGCTTACACTCCAACATACATTCCATAAGACTACTTTTAGACGCACACGTTGACAGTTAAAAATCAAACTTAGATTTCTCTGTAGATGTCCAGAAATCCGGGGGGTTCAGGGCTTTTGTATATACTGTAATAAATAATCTCTTTGTAACATTCCCTAGTCCTCTTTAATATAGTACTGTTTCAAACAGCACTACCTTAAAGCGCACTAAGGAACCCTTAGTGTCTACACAGACCGATTAATCCACAACTTATTGGTGCGCTTTAGAAATCACACCTCTTTAGTCCACATTACTAAGGGTTTAGACAAACCCTTAGATACATGTAACCATTTCTGGGGTTTATTGGTGTTGGGATGTTTTTATCGATTGGACAAAACCAAAAACCAGAAGCCATGTTCTACTGGAAGACATATAGGGCTCACTCCAAAAAAGCGCAAAGGAAGGTGAACCCTTAGCACTGATTAGACACGTCTAATGGGTGGAGAATAAACTGAGATGCCATTTTCAGGTGTAGTAATTTGTCCATTTTCTGCTTGAAATATCTGATGGTTATTCCACAGACAATCACCACTCATTTTTCTTCTGCCCACTGCATGGGGAAGCAGAATAGATCCCTCTAGTTTTAGATAGGGGACAACTGTTGTATGCAGCAAGTATCCATTTGAGGAAATTAGACACTTCACACGTAGGCCTCTTCTGCACTGGGGATTTGCCTTGATCACAGCTGTTGGTGACCACCACTGTAGCTGCTTAAAGCCACGGTGTGCACGACTGGTGCTTACATTTGCTTGAAATCAAGGTAAGCTTCACCCATGCAAATCGCAGCATTGCCTCCTGTTTGCTACACAGAGCAAAGTGGCCTTAAAACAGTGGAAAATGCTGGTGGTGAATTCCCATCAAGTGAGAGCTGCCAGCTTGGCTGATACACGTGGGATTGAACTGAGGACCTCCAGAGCCAAAAAGCACGACCTACAGCTTGAGCTAAAGCTCTGTACTTGGGGCTGTAACAGACTCCTATTTGCTGAAGATCACTACAGAGGGGAACCTGTAACACACTCACCAGTGGATTACACTTATTCATAGATACCAAGGTCAGAAGGGACCATTATGATCATGTAGTCCGACCTCCTGCACAATGCAGGCCACAGAACCCCATCCACCCACTCCTGCGAAAAACCTCTCACCTATGTCTGAGCTACTGAAGTCCTCAAATTGTGGTTTAAAGACTTCAAGGAGCAGAGAATCCTCCAGCAAGTGACCCGTGCCCCATGCTACAGAGGAAGGCGAAAAACCTCCAGGGCCTCTTCCTGTCTGCCCTGGAGGAAAATTCCTTCCTGACCCCAAATATGGGGATCAGCTAAACCCTGAGCATGTGGGCAAGATTCACCAGCCAGATACCCAGGAAAGAATTTTCTGTAGTAACTCAGATCCCACCCCATCTAACATCCCATCACAGGCCATTGGGCCTATTTACCATGAATATTTAAAGATCAATTAATTGCCAAAATCATGTTATCCCATCATACCATCTCCTCCATAAACTTATCGAGTTTAATCTTAAAGACAGATAGATCTTTTGCCCCCACTGCTTCCCTTGGAAGGCTATTCCAAAACTTCACTCCTCTGATGGTTAGAAACCTTTGTCTAATTTCAAGTCTAAACTTCCCAATGACCAGTTTATATCCATTTGTTCTTGTGTCCACATTGGTACTGAGCTTAAATAATTCCTCTTCCTCTCCGGTATTTATCCCTCTGATATATTTATAGAGAGCAATCATATCTCCCCTCAACCTTCTTTTAGTTAGGCTAAACAAGCCAAGCTCCTTGAGTCTCCTTTCATAAGACAGGTTTTCCATTCCTCGGATCATCCTAGTAGCCCTTCTCTGTACCTGTTCCAGTTTGAATTCATCCTTCTTAAACATGGGAGACCAGAACTGCACACGGTATTCCAGGTGAGGTCTCACCAGTGCCTTGTATAACGGTACTAAAACCTCCTCATCCCTACTGGAAATACCTCTCCTGATGCATCCCAAGACCGCATTAGCTTTTTTCACAGCCATATCAAATTGGCGGCTCATAGTCATCCTATGATCAACCAATACTCCAAGGTCCTTCTCCTCATCTGTTACTTCTAATTGATGCATCCCCAGTTTATAACTAAAATTCTTGTTATTAATCCCTAAATGCATAACCTTACACTTCTCACTATTAAATTTCATCCTATTACTATTACTCCAGTTTACAAGGTCATCCAAATCTTCCTGTATGATTTCCCGGTCCTTCTCTAAATTGGCAAAACCTCCCAGCTTTGTATCATTTGCAAACTTTATTAGCACACTCCCCTTTTTGTGCCAAGGTCAGTAATGAAAAGATTAAATAAGATTGGTCCCAAAACTGATCCCTGAGGAACCCTACTGGTAACCTCCCTCCAACCTGACAGTTCACCTTTCAGTAGGACCTGCTGTAGTCTCCCTGTTAACCGATTCCTTATCCACCTTTCAATTTTCATATTGATCCCCATCTTTTCCAATTTAACTAATAATTCCCCATGTGGCACGGTATCAAACGCCTTACTGAAATCTAGGTAAATTAGATCCACTGTGTTTCCTTTGTCTAAAAAATCTGTTACTTTCTCAAAGAAGGAGATCAGGTTGGTTTGGCCCGATCTACCTTTTGTAAAACCATGTTGTATTTTGTCCCATTTATCATTGACTTCAATGTCCTTAACTACTTTCTCCTTCAAAATTTTTTCCACAACCTTGCATACCACAGATTTGAAACTAACAGGCCTGTAGTTACCCGGATCACGTTTTTTTCCTTTCTTAAAAATAGGAACTATGTTAGCAATTCTCCAATCATACGGTACAACCCCTGAGTTTACAGATTCATTATAAGTTCTTGCTAATGGGCTTGCAATTTTGTGTGCCAATTCCTTGTCTAAGGTAACTCTCTGCTGATGGAGGCAGCTCTGCCATCTCTGTGCTCCCAGTCCCCAGTAGCATAAGAGGAGGCAGGGGGCATGTCAGTAGCATTCTGGTGGCAGGACATGGGCAGGAGGGGGCATTCTCACTGTAGACAGGGCAGTAGGCCCAGAAGTGACTTCTCTCCCTAAATATAATATAGTAAATGTTTATGAAGTACACAGCAATGCTCAGATGGAAAAAGCTGTGTTCTCTTGTATACTGTAAATGAGAACATGTACTCGGGAGCAGTGGTGATTGAAGCTGGGAAAATGCCTAACACAACCCTAACCTGATGATGGTGGTGTAGAAGTTAAACTTCTTCTCCTCTTCTCTCTGCACAGCTTGCAACAGGCTCTGAAACGTTCCTGAAGTCTGCATTTCCTGCAAAGTGTCTGCAATCACATCGCTCGCATACTGCCTGCCGACAAGAACGAGGAACACAACAGCAGCTTAGACAAAGATGTTATTTTCTGGCAATTCAATCCCTGGCTCAAACATACAGACCCTGTTATTGTTCACTGCTAAAAAAGTTACAGTAACGTAATGTCCTGCTTCTCTTCTGTTCAGGTTCTTACACCAAATCCAAGGCTTTTCGTCGACACTACAAAGTTTTGCTGGCATAGCTATAATGGCTAGGAGTGCGAAAAAAATCACTCCCCTTACCCATGCCAGCAAAACCTTTGGTGTAGACAGAGTTAGGTTTCCCACTATAACTCCCACTTGTGCATCTGGAATATTGTGTAGAATGGTGGAGGAGTTACGTTTATGCCTTAAGAACATACAGTGTGGTTGAGTTATCATTTAACTTTTATATTACAGTAGCACTAAGAGGCCCCACTCAAGATGGAAACCCATTGTGCTAGGTGCTGTACAGAAATTTACACAAACATGGTCCCTGCCCTGAAGAGCTTACAATTTACCAGCATGTAGAATTTCCTGATGAATATGTGATTACATTCTCAGTGGCAATTTTGCATTCATTTGGGAATTTTTTTGCATTGAATTTCCTTGAACTCATTCATTTGACTTTGCTGCTTAATTATACAGGCCAAGATTTTCTAATATATGCACCTAATGTTAGACTCCTTAAATCAATGAGCTGCTATGTGCTCAGCACTCTTTCAAATCAAGCCATCTAATTAGGAGCCTAAAATATGGGCTATTATCATCTTCCCTTTTTTAAGAAAATCTTGGCCTTGGTGTTCATTAGCTGTTCTGTAAAGCAGGATCGAGTGCACAGTAGTAACAGTGCTACAGTGACATCAGACGAGACATTAATTGACTGAGCTCAAGAGACAATGCTCAGCCTGTTAAACTAATTTCACTAATAAACTAATATTTGCTAGAGAAACCTTGATTCCAAACATTCAAACACCAGTACTGGATGGCTCCAGGGATGAATTATTGAAAGGTCATCAGTTTGGATTCTATTAAAGTGACCAAAAGTCATTAACGCTAGGCCATACTTTGCAAACCTTTGAGAAATTAGTTGGTAGTGTCAGTCCATTCCCTGATGGATAGGTATCCTAGTTCCCAAACCACAGTAAATGGCCTCCTTGCTGTCAGTCTAAGCAGAAGCCAGGGTCTTGAAGACTAAACTCCCTATTCCCTCCAGGTTAGGGTTGAAGTACATTAGCAAGGAGGAGAAGGGAAGCGTATACTGCTGCTATCTGTTCTGGAGAGAAATGAAGGACTTCACAGTCTTCAGGTCTGTCATCTGCCACCTCTCATTAAAAGCCACAGTCCTCTCTGATCACTCACCTATCAGCTTGAACTTTTCTGAGGTTATCGGAGGACACAGCACTCTGTTTTGCAGCCCTACTAAAAAGATGATTGGCCCTTTTTAGATCTCCACTTGTCTCCTGCAGCTGCTGCCCCAGTTCTGTGAACTTCAGTGACTCAGAGGGAACTGTTGGCCTGTTCTCTGACTTTGCTGACATGAGCTGTTCAAACTTAACCCCCAACTCCTTCTGGCTCTTGGTGATTTCACTAATTTCTTGGGCATCAATCTACAAGGGAACAAAAGAGATTTATGTGCATAAGGGACAGAAGAGAAATGAAAAACTCTGCAATGTTATGTAACAGAAGAGGAAAAAGTTGATTAAACAGTAAACTAGATTAGAATCATGCCTACAGCCATTGATAGAGTGTATTAAATTACACACCAAAGAGACGGGAGTCTGATATCCAAAATAATGCAATCTTTACTTAGTTATAATGTATGCTTGATTTTGCAAAGACCTTTATCCCTCCTTAACTTTAAGCACAGGAGCATAGGCCCATTGAGGTCAATGGGACTATTCAAAGTGTGTAAAATTAAGCATGTGCAAAGGCTGGTGCAGGACAAGGACCAAGGTGAAGACTGAGGAGAGAGGAAGGGTCACCCTGTCGTCTATTTCTCATTTAATTGCCACCAGCATCACCTAGAGCTTGCCTGCCTGCCTTATTTCTATATCAATCACTGTGCGTTGTGCTGCCTTCTTAATAGAAGTGTAAGTGCTGGGTGAATGTGTTTGTTTAGCGGTTTTGTGTGGTGGAGTAAATACAACAAGAATCAGGAGGGGAAATTCAAAATATTGGCCGCTACCTTCGTAACAAGCTATATGGAAACATTTTGGATATTTTAGGGCAGCCTAAGGTGTGAGTTGGAAAACAAACAGAGATCCCCTGCTGATGTAAATTATCATAGCTCCATTGAGTTAGGGCAGTTAACCAGCTGAGGTGTGTATGTGTATTTGTGTGAATAGGTATATAAATTGTATACACTAAATGTATACAGACAGGTGCAAATAAAAAAAATTACTTTAAATTAACAATATTAAAATAGCTTGAATCTCAATCTCTTAAGTGACTGAACTCCAGAAAAACCTGAGTGTGGCAAAGAAACTGCTTTAATGTAATGTAGTATCTACAGGCACTTTGACAGGTACCTTAAAATCCCTGGGATAGTTCAATTACTAAAGGATGGAGAATTTGTAAAGTGCATGAGGTGCCTTTTGTTCAGTCAGCTAGAAGTTTATTTTTGTGGCACAGTGTAGGAGGCAACTGCACTAAATTCAGCAAATGGAAACACTCCATTCGTCTGGGGGGACACATGAAATGGAGCAGTGCGCCCTAGTCATTGATTGAGAAAGTTAATGAATTATCAGCTGACACTGTGATTAGTGTTATATAAAATGTCATAACTATGATTGACTTCTACAGCTGCAATAGCATGCCTAAGTGCTAGGCAGAAGATAGGGTCCCTTGAAATGAAACTGACAATTTACAACTGAAAAATAGAGGATGGGATACAGTGACAAAATCACAGAGCAATGGAATTAGCACATCGCTGTTCTCTATATTGGGCGTGACTTTCATTGACACAATCACAAACTGAACGTGTGTGTCAGGAGGAGAAAACCCCCTAGAATCCTTAGGAATGTGTTTTCTCTGTGGGCGTTCACTGCTAATACATCAGAAGCTTTCCTCACGCTATTCAGTGAATGAGAATTCATATCTGGGAACAGGTGGATCTAGTCCATAGATCTCTTTTCAGGGAAGGAGTGCCCTCTACTGTATGGCTTAAGCATTAGTCAGGCTCTGAATCTAGTACACACTTCAGATTCTGAGTATTCTCTAAAAAGAAAAGGAGGACCTGTGGCACCTTAGAGACTAACAAATTTATTTGAGCATAAGCTTTCATGAGCTACAGCTCCTTCAATGCATCCGATGAAGTGAGCTGTAGCTCACGAAAGCTTATGCTCAAATAAATATGGTAGTCTCTAAGGTGCCACAAGTCCTCCTTTTCTTTTTGCGGATACAGACTAACACGGCTGCTACTCTGAAACCTGAGTATTCTCTGTCACCATATAATAGACTTCTTGTTCTTGAAAACAGATAAGAGACAAAGGACTGCTATACAAAATTAAATTTTACTTTACTCTTCCTCTTTCTTTCTCTGCTGATACTTTAGGCATAGTGAGTAGAATAAAATGAAGCAGCATTAGACCAGATAAACTAAGTTCCAGTAGTTTATGCCACCTCAGTCATAATGCTTCAATTATTTTGAGTTCCTTACTCATAAGGAAAAGTTTCATAACTGCTCAGCCTGGAAATTGGCTGCTGCCTTCAGTAAATGTTCAGATTCTTGAGGTGATAGCAGATATGAAAACTATTTGCCTCTCAAGGTGGTTAGGCCCACTCTTGTGTCCTATCACCTCATTCGCCACTCTACCATCCCCTGCAACTGCCTCCTTCTCCAAAAACATCTCAGCACTTCCACTAGGTTGCCTCTAATGCATGGAACACCCCTCTGAGCTGCCCTCTCTTTCAAATCTCCCCTCAAGACCCACTTATGCTGTGATGCCTAATATGAAATCAGCCAGTTAATGACTCTAGACTGAGGGGCAGTTGGTTAGTTATAGATCTAGGGTGGAATTTTCAAAAATGTTCAGTGTTGGCCCAACTCTGTTCCCCCTAAAGTCAATGGGAGTTTCATTAGTGACTTCTATGGGAGCAGAATTACATCAGAACTGAGTGTTTTTGAAAATCCTGTTCTTCTTTGCTTTTTAAAAAGAGAATGCATATAGGTATATACAACTTAGCTATGCTTGATCGTTTTCCTTTCCCTACTCCTTTGCATCTTGACTTTTATCTTAGATTGTAAGTTCTTTGGCATAGGAATCATGTTTTTGTTTATGTTCGTGCAGTGCCTAGCTGAATGGGACCCCAATCCTTATTAGGGCCTCTGCGTGCTACTGAAATATAAGTATTAAAATCAGTCTACAGCTGAACAACAAGATGATGCATTTATAATAACAGCCATACTGGGTCAGACCAAAGGTCCATCTAGCCCAGTATCCTGTCTTCTGACAGTGGCCAGTGCCAGGTGCCCCAGAGGCAATGAACAGAACAGGTAGTCATCAAGTGATCCATTCCCTGTCGTCCTTTCTCAGCTTCTGGCAAACAGAATGTTCCTTCTCTCACGGGCTGTGGGGCACTTTACAATGAAAATATATCAACATTTATTTTTAAGAGGAGTCAAAAGAAGGTAAGAAGTTGTAGCATAAAGACAGGAAGGAAAATCAGAGAATTTAAAAAAATTGAGGCACCTACATTGCTGATGTCTGTCCTGCCCTCATAGGAAACTGGCATAATATATCCAAGAATAGCAAGCTGATCAAGACAGTCCTCCAGCACAGCACAGATTTGCACAGCTTCCAGAGGGGAGAATATTTCCATCTTTTTATTTGCCATGTTCTTGCTAAAAGGAACAAGCACAGCATGTGACGACAATGAGAGACAGCGTGGAGTTCGTAACAGCAGTTTAAGTAATAGTAGATACTGAAATAGCCTTAAATCTGCAGCCTTTCATCTCTTTTCTATTTTTTGTATAGCCTATCCTGCACTCATTACCCCAGAAATCATGCTCCCCTAAGGGCTGCATTTGAACATAGTGGGAGCCTTAACTCACATTAACAAAATAGTTTCACAGCCACCCTCATCTTAGTTATGTTTGGGCAGCCTGAATCCTACAGCGCAATGCTCCAAATTGGGTCAAGTGGCCTGGCCCCCCCCAGCTCAGATTGGAGCATTTAGTGCTGAGATTTGTAGACTCCCCATCCATATTCAAAATGAAGGTGCCTGCTAGCTATGTTGAACTCTATAGGCTGCACTTTTGCCAACTTATGCTTTAAACTGTTCCTCATCATTACCTGGAATATTTTTGGTTCATCCCATTGACCTCAGTACAAGCTGCTGGGAGCTCAGCACTTTTTGAAAATCAGGGCAAGAGCCTACGTATGGACTGAGGAAATTAACTTTCACCTCCTATTTTTGAAATCTTGAACAAGTTTATTTCAATTCAAATGGAAAAAGTATGTTCATATACAAATCAGCATTCCCATGCCACGTTTGCAAATCAAACAACACAGCATTAGACTACACTGAAGCTAAATGGAAATTGACCAGCCTATTTTCTTTGTCCAAGCTGAGCAAAATACATAAGTAAACATCACCATAAACAGTGAGAAAAGTATGTTAGTAGCTTGAAAAGTAGCGATTTCAGTTTTGACTTTGTCATCTAAACTGTAACATAGGTAAAGACATTTTTATTGTACATACACAGGATTTTTAATCACGCTATCCCTTTTAACAATAAAACAGGAGGAATGTGTCTTAGATTTAGCTTTTTGCAGCCAGTGGGTTTTTTAAAAGGCAAAATAAACATGATTGTGCTGAGATTCTCATAGAATTTAAACTATTAATTTGTGCAGGTTATTTTTAAAGAAAAAGGAACAAATGCCAGTCAAGATCTTATGCAAACTTTATTTTTGCTAAGTAAGTTTCCAGAATTATTATTTGGTATTTGAATAGAAGCTTCTGGTCCATGTTACAACCCTCTTTCCCACCCCCACAAACCCCCACCATGCATGCGCGCACACACAAAAGAGATTGTTTGTACAGCAACCTAGCACAATAGGACCCTGATTCTGATTGGGCCTTCTGGGTATTACAATAAAGTCTAATAATAGAAGTCTCCACTAGTCCTTCTCTGTCTGCTGTTGGACTTGGGCCATGTTTAAAATCTCTTGAACAAACACTCAAAGTCTGCAGAACATTATAATCCCAGTCTGCAAGCACACTCTGGAAATGGATCAGACCTGTGATTAATAGGGTTGAGGCACTGTTATGCTCTATGAATTCTAAAGAGGTTTAGATTCAGCCATACTCTGTATCTGCACTGGAGTTAGAGTGAGTTACTTTCTTCAGCAACTTCCTGTCTTGAAGAAACTGTAATAATTTTAGAATGTGAAATTAGTTTCAAATAGGCAGAAGATGAATATAATTTGTTAGCTCAGGCCTACCACATTTTCAGCGTCACAAAAGGTGGGGTGCAGTAAAAGGACCCTCTATTTTTAATTTGTCTGTTTCTTGACATTCTGTTTCATGGAGTATGTTCCTTGAAGATATTAATCCTTTCCAGGAGGTTTAACTAGCCCCTGATGGCATCTTCAGTTTGACTCTACAGAATCATAGAACTGCAGGGCTAGAAGGGACCTCAAGAGGTCATTTAGTCCATCTCCCAGTATTGACGCAGGACCAACAATACCTAGACCAGTGGTTCTCAAACTAGGGGCGCCGCTTGTTTAGAGAGAGCATCTAGCGGGCCACGCCGGTTTGTTTACCTGCTGCGTCTGCAGGTTCGGCCGATCTTGGCTCCCACTGGCCATGGTTCGCCGTTCCAGGCCAATGGGGGCTGCAGAAAGCAGCACAGGCCAAGGGACGCGCTGGCTGCCCTTCCCGCAGGTAAACAAACCAGTGTGTCCCGCCAGGGGCTTTCCTTGAACAAGTTTCCCTATTTTGAGAACCATTGATCTAGACCATCCTTGACAGGTGTTTGTCCAACATGTTCTTAAAAACCTCCAATGATGGGTATTCCACAACCTTCCTTGGAAGCCTATTCCAGAGCTTAACTTCCCTTAGAGTTAGAAAGTTGTTCCTAATATGTAACCTAAATATCCCTTGCTGCTCATTAAGTGGATGGCTTCTTATCCTACTTTCAGTGGACTTGGAGAACAATTGATCACAGTTCTCTTTATAACAATTCCTAATGTAGTTGAAGACTTATCAGGTCCCCCTTTGGTCATCTTTTCTCAAGGCTAAACGTCCAGTTTTTTTAACCTTTCTGCATAGGTCAGGTTTTCTAAACTTTTAAGCATTTTTGTTGCTCTCCTCTGGACTCTCTAGTTTTTCCACATCTTTCCTAAAGTGTGGTGCCCAGAACTGGACACGCTACTCTAGCTGAAGCCTTACCAATGCCGAGAAGAGTGAAACAATTCTCTCTCATGTCTTAGCACGCTCCTGTTTATACACTTGTAGTAGGCTATACCTTTCTAGCACCCCCTTGGGGAGAGGGTGGGCACTGCCCCTGCCTTTCAGTCTAGGCTCAGGCCTCCAGCTGTGCTGTTCAAGGCAAATTGCAGGGGAGAGGGGAGCTAAAGGAATCCAAACAAAAAGTCTGTTTGCTTCCACAGCCCACAAAAACCAGCGTCCTAGGCCTTTGGGAAGTCAAAGGAAAGTACCAGCCCTTCTCCTTTCTGAGAGGACCTGGGAAGCCAACCCATTTCCCCAGTCAGTTACCCCCGCTGCCAGGAAGCTCTGAGTTGCAGTCCTGCTTCTACAAAGTACCACCCTGCACTTTGTCTTTAGTGTTTTGACACAGCAGCCTCCTCATATGAAGCTCTGACCACCACCTTCTTCATTCATTTTTAGCCAAGTTTTGGTTTTTTAAATATCCTTCTACAGCAAGGCTTTTTTGCACTATTGCATTTCCCTGACATTCTCACTAGTCCCTGTAGGGAAAAATCTTTGATTCTGGGCTGACTCAATTTTTCATCCAGAAACTTACTTTCTATAGAATATTTTCCACAATGCCATACAACAGTGGTCACCATCCCGTAGATCGCAATCGACTGGTCGATCCTGGAGCCTCTGCCAGTCGATTGCGATCTCCGGCCACTAAAAGTCTGGCAGCATAAGGGCTAAGACAGGCTCACTGTCTGCCCTGGCCATGTGCTGCTCCCAGAAGAGGTCAGCACGCCCCCGAGGTCCCGAAGGGGAGGGGCAGAGGTCTCCGTGCGCTGCTCCTGCCTGCAAGCATTGCCCCCAACAAGTCCCATTGGCTGGGAACAGGGAACTGCGTGATGGGAGCTGCAGGCGTGGTGTTTGCAGGCAGGAGCAGCACACAGAGCTTCAGGGGCATGCATGCTAGTCACTTCTGAGAGTGGCGTGGGGCCGGGGCAGGCAGGGAGCCTGCCTTAGCCCCGCTGTGGCGCCGACTGGGAGCCGCCTGAAATAAGTGCCGCCTGGCGGGAGCCTGCACCCCAGCCCTAAGCCCCCTCCTAGAGCCAGCACCCCCTCCTAGAGCCAGCACCCCATACCCCCTTCTGTACCCCAATCCCCTGCCCAAGGCTGAGCCCAGAGCCCCCTCTCACACTCCAAACCCCTTGGCCCTAGCCCAGAGCCTGCACCCTCTCCCGAACCTCAACTCCCTGCCACAGCCCAGGGAAAGTGAGTGACGGTGGGGGAGAGTGAGTGACGGGGGGGGGGGGGGATGGAGTGAGCAGGCCAGGGCTTCGGGGAAGGAATGGGGTAGATCCTGGGTTGCACTTAAATTCAAAAAGCGATCTTGTGCATAAAAATATTGGAGATCATGCCATAGAACATTATCGACAGGTTCCTTGGCTTTGCACACATTACACAGCCCATCTTTATTTCTTTTTAATACGTTTAACTTATTATTCAAGGCACAATGACCTGTTAGCCCTTTAAAAAGGACTATGTCATTTTTCCTAACATGACTGTGGAGCATGGTATTATCTTCAATTTTTGATCATACATTCTAAAACCTTAAGTCCTTTTTTCCCCGTTAGTCCATAGTTCTTTCCATTCCTTCGCAAGCTCCTTTGTTACCACACTTTTGAATTCTTGTCTATTTAAAGGTATCTTAATATCTACCTCCTCATTTTTTCAGAGCTTGTTTTGCTGCTTTGTCAGCCCTCTCATGTCCAGATATTCCGATATATACCAGAATCCATGCTATTGTTACACAGATACCTGCTTGCATTATTTCTGTAGTTAGGAACATTATTTCACTTATGTCATTTCTGCTTTCCAAATTCCGATTGTCATAATGCCTGACAGGTTCAAGTGCAGTTCAGTCGCACATCTTTTACCCAGGTTAGTGCCAACATTATCCTTATTAGTTCAGCCATCAGTGTGGTCACATAATTCAACAGTCTTTTAGATTTCTGGATTCCAAAACTAGAAACACAGAAGGCTGTTCCCACTCTACTCGTGCTGTCATCTTCTGATCCATCTGTATAGACTTTGCAAAGCTGGTCCCATTTTTCATAAATAAATTCAGAAATGTTATTGGTCATAAGTGTTTTTTCATGCAGTTCCAAATCCACAAATGGGGGAATAGCTGTTCAGCTGTGCTGCTGTAGTGCTTCAGGGTAGCCACTTACTACAGAGACAGGAGAGGTTTTCCCATCACTGTAATAGTTAATCCACCTCCCCGAGACACTGTAGCTAGGTCGACAGAAGAAGTCTTCCGTCAACCTAGCGCTGTCTACACCAAGGATTAGGTTGAGGGTTAACTACTTTGTGGATTTTTCACACCGCTGAGCAATGTAGCTGGGTCAACTTAACTTTTTAGTGTAGATCTGGCCTAAGAGTTGTTTTTGAGACTGAACCTAAAGCTTGGCATCCATAGTCTAAAACTGATCTGATCAATGCTCTGTACATCATTATCATCATCAATACCTTCTTTATCTGCACCCCATTTGTTTCCAGCTACGCTTTTGAGTAAGTTCATCCTACTTTTACACTTTTGTATGATATTGTCTGTGACCTGTACAAGTTAATTTATTATCAAACACTACTCCTAGGACCACAACCTTTTGAACGATCTGAATTTTTTCACCGTAAAGAAATAAGTTCCAAACTTCTCTAATTTTCTTTCTGGTTAAAGGCATTCCCTTAATTTTTGCAAGTAAGAATTTAAATCCCCGATCATTTCCCCACTTAGAAATTCTTTGGAGTACCTCATTTGTCTTTTCCCATCTAATTTAAGTGTATTATGCTTAGTCTATATAGCACAGACATCTGCATGCTTTCTGGGAAGTCATTTATCATAAGGGAAAACAAAACAAGGCTGTAAATACGCCTTTGTGGAGTTCCATTTGTAAGCTTGTAGGTTTTTGATAAAGCTGTTCCCATTTTAACTAAAAAATGCCCTCCCTTATCCATCAAACCATTTCCCCTTTTATTCCAATTTTGGCTAGTTTATATAGGACGTCTTCCCTCTAGTATGCCAAATGCTTA